AGCCCTCTCTGTGAGATGGGGATGTCTCTGAAGTGAGAGGTTCAAATGCCTTTCTGACTGCTGCCCTGGGGTTGGCACAAGAGATCTGCAAGTCGGTGAGGGCAAGTGGCTTGAATCCAGAAGAGCTTTTGTAAACTCTGAGATGATAAATGACTTGTGTGTCTGCAGCTCAGTTATTACTGGCCTGACTTATAATCAGTTCTACACAGCTTTAATGCTGTGGTTCATTGTAGAGTTTTGATTTTCCCATTGCTCTCATGGAAAAAGCACTGGATCCTGTTTTCATCTTCCCTAAACAGTTTCAGGTTCTGTATTTGAACCCCTGACTATAGTGAAGACTGCCCTGGGAAGAGGACTTTTCTCCTACAAGTGACAAATGTCTTGCAATCCAAGGTGGTTGTGCCCTGGAGGAGTTTTTAATTCCCTTGCTGTGAGTGCTCTGTGGCATGTGCTGTGCCTGCACAGGAGGGTTAAGTGTCATTTCAGAAGAACCTGATGTTTTGAAGGGACCTGTGTTAATAAGAAAAACAGCAGGAGTGAGGGGAGTGGAAAGGAAAGTTCTAGCAGGAGAATCCCAGAGTGGTTTGGATTGGAAAAGACCTTCAAGCTCATCTTGTTCCATCCCCTACCATGGGCAGGGACACCTTCCACTAGCCCAGGTTGCTCCAAGCCCTGTGCAACCTGCACTGGAACACTTCCAGGGATGGAGCAGCCACAGCTTCTCTGGGCAGCCTGTGCCAGTGCCTCAGCACCCTCTTTGGTGTGGTTTGGGTTACAAACCATGTCCTTGTAAAGGCCACAGGGGCAGAGCTACCCCAGTACCATCCCCAGTGTCCAGCAGGGATGGTCTCCTCAAGGCCCTTCTCTTGCCCAGCTCCTGGCTGTGACTGACAGGAAAGAGTTGTGAGCTGCAGGTGACCCGGTGAAGTGACGAGAGTGTAGTTTGAGTGTCTTTGGGAAGGAAAATCTCATCTGGGGGAAATGTTACATGTTATTTTCTCTTGTCTGGACCCTGATTTAAGTGGGACTGCAGAAAAGGGAACGTGTGACCTAAGACTGAATGTCACAGCAGGTGACTGCCTGGTGAGTTTGCTGCAGTGCCACGCTGTACCTGGGATCAAAACCAACAGTCTGCTCATGGAAGGCAGCTCTGATGGGAATGTTGCATCTTCCTCAGAGCAAAACTTGGCTGTTTTGTCATTATGGATTGCAGCTTGGGGCTTCAACAAGTTCTGGCTGGTAGGAGGGAAACCTGTAAGGTACTTCAAACAAACAAAAAAAACCAAACCAGCCAAATGCTGTGTTTGTGTTCCTAAAATGACCAGTCAGAATCTAATTTCCTCCTTCTGTGAAAGACACAAACGTGCTGAACGTCAAATCTAATTCATGATATACTGTTAGATATTTTTCAGGGGAAATTGGTAGCATTACAAATACTGTGGTTTGGTGTTTTATGGGTGGAAAGTGAGTTAAACATTCCATCACACTGATCTGAAATGGTTTCTGTCACCAGTTTCATCCACCTGACTGTGTGTTGTTCTCGTGCTTGTCAGGCAGTTGTTCCTGACTCGTAATGATGGTTTGTGCCTGGGGTTTGGTTTTGCCCTGGTGCTGAGTGCTTGGTGCACAAGTGTCACTGGTTTGGTTCAGATCAGATCTGTAAACCTGTGCTGTAGCTCCAGGAGAAGAGGAAGGTCAGTGCCCCAGGAAGGTGAGTGAGGCTGTGTTTGTCCTGAGTGTGGTGTTTGTTGTCCTGTGGAACAGGGAAGGGTGTTCATTCCCCCTGGGCTTTGGTCAGGGACTGCTCCCAGCTTGTCCCCTGCCTGGGGATGAGCAGCCTTTAGAGTCTGGGGAGTGCTGGATGGGCAGTGAGATGCAGATCCTGTGCTCCTGTGCTGCTGTGCTCCCTGGGCTGGGTGGGTGCAGTCTGAGTCTGTCACATGTGCTTTCTCATTACTTCTTTCCCTGCGAAGTCTTTCTCCCATGTTTTCTCCCCTCCTCAGGCAGGGAGCCAGTGCTGGCTGTGAGATCTGCTGCATGCAGCGTGTCTTAGACTGCAGCAGCACAGGGTCCTGTCACTGCCTGTTCCCTTGCAAGGTGCCTGGATGCATTCAGCTTCCCAGTGAATTATTTTGTGTCCTTTATCAGCAGGAGACAAAATGTCGGTTGCTAGAGGACAGTCAAACCATCTCAGATGCACACTATCATTTTCTGCTTGTCTTCAATTAAACTGATTACCAGAGTTCTTTGTTGTTTGGAGCTCAGGCCGTTTCATATGCTGCCAGCATGTACTTTGGCAGTGGCAGGAGATGGGATTTCCTGCATTGTTTGAGCCTTTGCCATTGACCTTCGTGGTCGTTGTTCTGGCACTGCCTCTGCTCTGGCAGGGGTGCAAAGGGCATTATTCAAACCCTGAAAGAAAAGAGAAAGAATTGCTTTAAAGGCATTGAGGACTCTTTGTAATTGGTGGCTCCTAGGGTCAGTGCTGCAAAAGGAGGGGAATTGCTGGGGTTGTCAGGATAATTACTGCTTTTTTATTGTTCTCATCCCAGTCTGGATGACAGTGGTGTGATTTATAGTGAGTCACAAAAATACGCCTTCCATGCAGCTCTAAGCTGGTGTCCCTTTGGGACTGAGTGGGGAGTAGCCTTGGTTTGATTCCTCTTGGGAAATCTCATAGGTGCTGGAAGCACTCAGCTGTGCCCCAGAGCTTCCCCACCTCTGCACTGGGGGGCTGTGGAGGGCTCCAGTGGAGAGGCTGAGGTGGTTGTGCTGGAGCTCTACTGCAGCCTGTGCCACGGGCACTGGTTTTAGAGAAGATCCACCTCCCCATGCTGCTGGAGCCAGGCATGCCAGAGAGACATGAGCCATCTGCCTCATCACACGGAAGGTCACTGAACCCCCTCCTGCCTCCACCCTCATTGCTGTGGCTGTGGTTGCTTTGTGCTGGTAAATCATTTGCTCAGCCTGTGCCTGGAGCGTTGTACCTTGAACCTGCTGAGGCCTGATGCAGTGACAGAGCAGTGCTCAGCTCGCCAGTGTGGTGACCAGCTTGGGGAAAAGGCTGATTGCATGACTCTCTGTTCTTCCCCTTTCCATCTGGAGCCTTCCTTCCCCTGTCAGGTGCCTGCATCTGGTCTGGAAACAGCTGACCTGGGGAAGGTGTCCCTGGCGTGGCTGGTACACTGATGAGAAGGACAGATGAGGCCTTTGGAGTAAGACCTTTGGAATAAGATACAACTTCTGCATTATTGATTCATTTGCATGGTATTGTGCAGGTTGAATTAAATTATCTGGTGTGAGATCCCATAGTTGATGTCAGAGAACAAACTCCAGAGTGCTCAGGTTGGAGTAAGTCCTTTGTAACTCTGTCTATGTGAGCCCAGCAGGCTCTGAGGTTAGTTAGAGGGTTGACAGCCCATGCCAGGCTGACCTGCTCACCCTGGGCCTCAACCTCTGCCTTGAGCTAGGTCTGTCTCCCCTGATTTTTGTACCCAGGAGAGAAGAGGCTTCTGTGGTGGGACAGGAACAACTTGGAGAGCCACAGCTGCCTGAAGGAGCCTTGACCTGTCCAGGGTGTTGTGTTTCGCTGGACCTGTAAACACACTTGGGCATGAAATGTGAGGTGATCAAGCCCTGTGGCTGCTGGAGCTGAAAGCTCAGGTCCTCTGTGCTGAGTTGGTGCTGAGTTTGAGCTCTTTGCTGGGGAAGTAAGTGGCTCCAGCAGACAATCCAGGCACGTGACTGCTGGCCATGGTCATGGAAAGTTGGCTCGGTTATCGTGTTTATTTGCTCTGATACAACTTTTCATAACACTGTCATGCAGCTTTTTTTCCAAGGCTTTTGGAATGTGTTATTCTTTATTTCTTCCCTTCTGCTATGTTTTTAAAGCAGTACTATCAGAGGATCTGTATGTAACACTGGTGGTTGTTGTTGTTGTGGGTAATGAGTTACAGACTTTTCCAATGACTAGGGCTCCTTTTTATCCCTTTTTATAGCAAATTAGCACAGAACCCCTCTGTTTATTGTAGCTCTAGCTCAAGATTATGATTTATAGCAGGAGAAACTAAAATAGAAGTTGTTAGCTCTTCCAGTCTGAGGAAATCAAATTTGCCTCATTTTAGTCTCAACTCCTGCCTTGTTTTTTCTCTGGGGAGAGAAGTAATCACTCTCTTGCCTTCTGCAGGGCTGGGCTGCTAAACTTATCAAGTGGTTTATCATCTGAGGAAGGTGTTGAATAGCTTTGGTTTGTTCCTATACAGAATATGCTGGTGTTTGTTTCTCTCTCTCTCCTGGGGAAGCTCAAGTGCTCATTACAGTAGGGAGCAGCCTTATGTTGTGATATAAAGGTCACAAGTGTTTCCTTTCACCTCTCCAGCCCAGAGTCAGGCTGACATACACAGGAGGTGGCAAGAAGTCTTTGCAGCAAAAGGAGCTTTTAGGGTGTTTTTCTTGAGGGAGAACTATAGACCAGTCAGTCCTTTCTGCGTGGGGGCTGTAGCTTTCTTTGTCCAGCTCTAGCAGAGCAGCCTTATGTTGTGATATAAAGGTCACAAGTGTTTCCTTTCACCTCTCCAGCCCAGAGTCAGGCTGACATACACAGGAGGTGGCAAGAAGTCTTTGCAGCAAAAGGAGCTTTTAGGGTGTTTTTCTTGAGGGAGAACTATAGACCAGTCAGTCCTTTCTGCGTGGGGGCTGTAGCTTTCTTTGTCCAGCTCTAGCAGAGCTGATTTCCTCCTGAAGAAACAGTCTGCTATTCCTGCTATTCCAGTCTCTCCCCATTGCTCCGTGGGAGACCTCCGGCACCAACAGCGCGTTGTATCCGACTCTGTCACAATAGACTGGGAGATTTGCTCACCTCCCATTAAGTGTGAATATCAGGTACTAACAGAACATCTCAGTTATTTTCTCAATATATTCCAAAATCTGTTTTAACTGCTGTTCCTGTTGCTGCAGGCGGAGGGGGAGAAGGGTGTCTGGATACGGATGAACGAGCCGTGATGGATAACAAGGACTCGGAAGCTGAGATCCACCCTCTGAAGACTGAGGATGTGAAAGCTCAGGAGATCCATGAGAACTCTGTGGAGAGGAGGATCCTGAGCAAGCAATCCTCGCGCCTGTCGCGGTGGCGCACTGCCGCCTTCTTCATCTCCCTGTTCCTCTGCCTCATCATTGTGTTTGCCTTCTCCTTCATCATTCCTTGCCCGGAGAGGCCAGTGTCAGAAAGGACATGGTTCCGGCACTACAACGATGCAGGTGAGTTTGCTGGAGCAGCACAAATACTTACCAACAGTTCTTCTCTTCCATGTGCCACGAATTTGGGCTGGGGACCTCCACCTGAGCCAGACCTGCAGCCCTGGGGAGCCACAGCTGTGAGTACCTGACCTGGATAGGCAGTGGCCTGTCATAATTGGAGTGGCCTTCCAGGAGGTGTTTACAGGATGTAGTGGAGGAGTTGGATGCTGCTCTGAAGCACTAATAAGGTCTCACTTGGGGGAAAAAATGAGGAAGGGTATCTGGGAATAAATCGTTGTTGAGATTTGCTCTGTAAAATGTTCCCTTGAAGTTTGAGCTGAGGTTGGAGACCAATTAGGCATTTTTTCCTCTGTCACTATGACTTTCTACCATTTCCCCATGGCTAACCGGAAGGGAAAAAGAATAATTCTGTCTTGTTATTTTTATAAATTGCTTTATAGTTACTATAACTATTTTTATTCAAGTTGCTTTAGTTGGCTCTTTAGCCTGGGCCCTGCTCCCTGGTGGCTTGGCATTTGCTTTTGTGAGAGCTGTTCTTGAGTCTAGTGTGCAGTGGGTGTGTGCTGGATGTGCTGTAAATGCAGATAGTGGAGACTGAGCTGTGAGTCTTACTGCAGACATCCTGGGTTCTGCTGCTCTGAGCTCCAGAGGTGGCTCTTAGCTGAGAAGGAAGAAAAGGGAATATCTGGGATTGGGTTTTGTGGGGTTTGGATGAGGCTTTTGTGTACTTCAAGGGTAACAACACCACACCAAGACCAGGGTTGATCTTTGCTCAGCATAGCTCAAATTCTGGTCGCTTGGCTATAAAAAAAGACAAATCCTCTGGGGGATGGCAGATTTCAAAAAACCCTTGGCACTGCTTTCCTGTCCTTGGTTACTGTGTACATGGCTTTTTTTGATACAAAAGCCAATCTGTCCCGATGTGACGCTGTCGGAGATGGAGGCAGTGAGTAGGTCTCTAGGAATTTGTGTTTGGCTCCAACTAGCTGTGCTGTGGGCTGAGGCAAACCTCACCAGTGCCTGCCTTGTGGTCTCTTGCAGTGGCCTACCAGTTCCTGGCAATAGAAGATGTGAACGAAGACAAAGTGCAAGATGTCCTCTTTGCTTTCAAAGCCAACAACGGCAGCAGCAGCTTCAACACGTCCTGCCTGGATGAAGGTAGCTGATCCAGACACAGAAAGCCTTGTAGCCAGGGCTGCCCTTTCCCTCTTAGTTTTTATTAGTGAGGCTGCTGTGGGACTGGGAGAGAAAGCTGGATGAGAGGAGCTGGGTGAGTCCCAGCCACTGGGTGGTGCGGAGCAGCGAAGGTGAATGCAGGGAGAGTTATCTCTGACCTCTCTTCCCTCCAGGGCTGCCATCTCCCTGTGCTTTTGTTGCTGCTGTGTCTGGCACGAATGGCAGAGCACTGTGGGAGAGACCTGCTGCCGAGGACCTGGAGTGGATGGAGTGTGGCATCCAGCAGCTCGGTGTGGCAGGGGCCCAGGGCTGTCTGCTCGTGGGGCGACCGACGGCCCTGACAGCGCTCGACCTGCGGACGGGTGAGTGCTGAGCAGTGCTGCTGGCTTTCCTCACCTCGTGGCCTTCGGGCCTCAGAGGCAGGGGGTGTCAGCGTGACATGACTCACTGGTGCACAAACAATGGGCACAGGGGATTCATTGTCTTGAAAGCCTTGCCAGAGCCTTTGGGAGTGCCTGCTGTCCATCCCTCCCTGCTCCACAGGCTGAGCTCTGTGCTGGGGGGTGTGCCAGCCCCTGTTTTGTAAGACCAGCATTCTGACAGCTTTTGGAAACAGGAGAAGCAGTCACTAGCTGCAGATGTTACTTTATACTCTCCAGAGTTGGACATGAACCTGCACCTGCAGTATTTCCCAGCTATCCATGTGTGTCTGCCAGGAGCACCTGCAGAGACAAGAGGAGTGAGAGTTCTAGGGATTTATGATTTTAAAGTCATTAAGGAAAGCACTTAGGATAAATACTTGCCAGTCTCTTTCAGCAGTCCAGGATTCTGGAAAGGTTTCTTCCTTGCTGAACCTAGAGATGGAGAAATTCATTGCCATCTTGCCCAACCTGGGATGGGGCTGCAGAGTGCCTGTGCTTCTCTAGGAGCAGTCATCATCTGTTGCACCTTGACCTTTGCTTGCTGACAAAGCCTAAAATGCATTTCCATTTTGGGTGTCACTGTTTCAAAGGGCTAAACAATACCTATTCTCCCCAGGATCCCATCCTTTGTGTCTGGTATTGAACCCCTTAAACCCTGTTTTCCAAAAAAACTGGAAGGGAGAAGTAGCAAGATATGTAGCTCTAAGGAATCTGAGGAAAATCTAATGTAGCTTTTAATTTCCAGTGTAGATGCGCACAGTGCTACAAAGTTTCTGTACCAACTGAGGTACCTTAGCACCATTTCTCCCATGTGTAAGCTTTAGGGCAGGTTATTTTTAGACTATTAATGAAGTAGTTGCTTTCAGGTCAAAGTTGGCTGCTGAGCCAAAGGTGTGTAACTAAAGACAAGCATGGAGAGAAGGAGCCGTGCTAAGCTACAGGTCATAGCAATACAGTAAAGAAAACATTTCCATAGATAACTTAAAAGCAAGAGGGGGAAAAATGCTTCAGATGGAAAAGTGAATAACCCAGAAGATTGTGTATTTGATGCCTTTTTGCTATTAAGTAGGTTAAAAGTGGTTTCTGAGTGTGGTTGACTTTTACTGGGGGTTAGGAGGGCAGAGCAGAATAAAATGTATTTAAATAGGCTAAATGTATTCAAAGAGGCAAAGTCTGACTTACATCACAGTGTGCTAAAAACAGTAGCCAGCACAATCTTTAGCTGTTAATGATTCATCATCATGGAGGATTTGGTGAGATTCCAGGGCTCTCAGGCTGTCTAGCCCCTGCCTGTAGGAAGATTGAAGGAGAGATAGGCAGATTATCATCTGAAAGTGTCTGATGTGGTTTTGATCTTTAAATGCTGGTGAAGTTAGTGCTTGTCTGTCAATTTGGGTTCTGTTAAGTCTTGTTTTCTTCATTGCCAGAAGTGGCCTGAGCACACAAGAAGGGAAGTGTAGGAGTGCATGGCTCTGTTTGTGTGGGACATCTAACATTCCTGCATGTATATCTTACCAGCAAACTGGGACACAAGAGCTTAAGATTAACTGTTCCAGGTCAAAGCAGAAGTCTTTGGAGCTGTGTATTCCATCTCTGTCAGGGCCAGAAGCAGAGTCTGCAGGAAGAGGACAGGAGTGGTTTGTTACACCTTCTCTCTTCACCTGATCCTCCAGCAGCCTCCACTGTGAGCCCTGTGGGTAGTTCTGGTCTCCTAAGGGATACAACAGAAAGGACATGATGATGATCAGATGTGTGGAAATGCTTTTGTGTAATAAACCACAACTCCAGCTCAGACAATGTCTGACAGGGAGAAAAGTCTGTGTCCTCTGTGGCTGCTTGGAGTGAGAGCTGAGCTCAGTCATCTAAGTTCTAATTTTATCATTCCTTCCAGACAAAAAAAAAACCCAACCCTTTCACCCTGCTTAGATTTGCTGTCTGGACACTGGTCTAATTTTCATCTCAGCTCCTCTTGCCACGCTGCTGCTGCGACCCAGGGCTCTGAGGAAGCACCACAGCACTCTGGATGTCAGGCAGGGTAGTCCCATCTCCTGCTGATGGAACAGGAGGGCACTGGATTCAGTGTTGGTGCTCTTGGGCATTGGGTTACAGCATGAAAAGCTTCTCAAGTGCTTGGTGTTGAATCTGTCTCTGTTAGCTGTTTCCATCAAGTCAGACTGCTCTTTTAAGAGTAAGATTCTTCCTCCCAAACTATATCTGCTGTCTAACCAGTGAAGATTAGAGCCTTATGCATTGGCATGTGAATTTCGTCAGCCAGGTCTTGCTGTTGTAGCTTTGGACTGTGCTGAATCCAGGATGTAGTGATTTAAAACTTCAGTTCTCTCCTTCCTCTGCCTGCTCATTTTCTTTGGGGGCAAAATTCTTTGCCTTCTCATGATTTCCTAAAGAAACTAGGAAATCTATTCTCTTCTGCTTCACATCTGTTGTCATAGTAACAAATCCAAGTGGTTTTTTTCAGTGTTGCAGTAAAAGCTTTGGAGGAATCCTACTGGAAATACAGCCTGCCTTAAATTGATGCAGACAGCATCAGGTAGTAATTCCTTGGCCTTCTTGACAAAGAACAGATGATTACTTTGCATTCCTGAAATGACAATTGCTGTGTATGATGCTGTGTAAAGGGGAGGGTAAGCATCTCCCCTCTGAGCACTTAGTCAGACACTGGAGTGTTGCTTAAAAATACCCAACCCTGCAGTGTCCTTCTCCTACCAGATTCCATGGCAGATTCCTCTGGGCAATGACTGGAAAGTGTCCAGCAGCCTTGGGCAGGGTGTATGGAGTGGAACCACTCAGCTGGTGTGGAGCTGCTGAAGAGAAACCCACCCCACACCTCTCCACGTGTTTTAAAGCCCAAAGCTTTGCTACCTCAGTTTACAAACCCATTTGAACAGGCTGTGTGTGTTCCTCCAGCAAGGGAGAGGTGGGATGTGGGCTGAGTTGTGGCTGCTCGTGTCAGTGGGGAACATCTGCAGCAGACAAGTTGCAGGAAAAGAGGTTTTGCCAGGAGTAGCAGCACCACTGGTCAGAATTCAGCTGCTTCAGGGGCTCAAAATGTCTGTACATATTTAAGTACTCAGCAACAAGGATTCAGATCACAACAAAGGATTGTCCATGCCATGAACATGCTGGGAAGCTTGTGAACCTAAGGCACAAGGAAAGCAGGCTGATCTTTGTGCCAGAGTGTTTGGGTTCATCCTGCAGGCAGCTAGGATTACTTTCCAACATAAGATGGAAATGTGGCTACTGGGATTCATTGGGAATGCAGAAATGCAAGTGCTCCACGATGATCATGACTGGTTTGTGGTGCTGGTGAGCTGTGAATGGCTACAGTGAGTGCTGGGAGGAGCAGGGGATTAAGAGCCTCTCCACCTGAAGTGCCTTCTAGTGACTGTTTCCCACTTACTGTCTTCCAGGGGAAGTTCAGTGGAGACAGTCCAGTGACTTTGGAGCTAATTACACTGTGCTGACTCCTGTGTCAGTGATTCCAGATGTGGATGGTGACGGAATTCAGGACCTGATAATCTTTGCTGCTACGGGAAACAAGGTATGTCACCCTGAAGTTCTGGTAGCTCCAGTGGCCAGACCACAGGGCATGGCAGGGAAGCCGGTCTTGTCATCAAAGAGGAAGTGTCCAGAGGCCTCTCATTCCTGTGGGTTTGGAGTGGGTTCTTTCCCACCCTGCAGAGATGTACTCCCAAATCAATGTAAGTGTTTGAGGGATTAGAAAAATTAAATAAATGAAAGAGCTGGCCAGGAATCTCTGCCCCTTCTCAGTCTGCGCTCCTCACTGCATGTTCCTGGGTTGTCTGAGGAGTCAGCCTGAGCAGGATGAGCTTGCAGTTTTCAGTTTCCTCTGCTCAGAGAAGTGGAAGTGAACAAACCCTGACAGCTTTGGCTCTTAGATCAAAGCACAGCTGACAGCCAGTGCTTTTGTACTACCACTGCCCTTTTCTGATCCCTTCCCTCTCTCTGCCTGTGGTCTGCTTTGCACTGCACTTCCCAATGTCACTGCCTGGTTAGTTCTGACCTGGGTTCTTGTAGTGGAACAGCTGCTGGTTGTGTTATCTCCATCCCAATTTTGCTTTTCCCATTTCTTAGAGGGAGAAACTCATGTAGCTAAAACTGTTTTTATACTAAAACATCTGCATCCATGATTGAGTGGTACAGCATTGTCTGCATGCCCAGTCTGTTCTGTGACAGCTCCCTGCAGGGCTGATGGGATCAGTGGCAGCCCTGTGTCCTCATACCAGAGTCACAGAATCAGTGAGGCTGGAAAAGACCTTCAAGATCGTTGAGTCCAACCTGTGACCCACCACCACCTTGTCAACTAGACCAGAGAACTGAGTGCCATGTCCAGTCGTTCCTTGAACACCTCCAGGGAAGGTGACGCCACCATCTCCCTGGGCAGCCCCTTCCAATGCCTGACAGCTCTTTCCATGAAGAAATTCTTCCTTATGTCCAACCTGAACCTCCCCTGGCACAGCTTGAGGCCATTTCCTCGTGTCCCATCCCTTGCCCTGTGTCCTAATACCAGAGTCACAGAATCAGTGAGGCTGGAAAAGACCTTCAAGATCGTTGAGTCCAACCTGTGACCCACCACCACCTTGTCAACTAGACCAGAGAACTGAGTGCCATGTCCAGTCGTTCCTTGAACACCTCCAGGGAAGGTGACGCCACCATCTCCCTGGGCAGCCCCTTCCAATGCCTGACAGCTCTTTCCATGAAGAAATTCTTCCTTATGTCCAACCTGAACCTCCCCTGGCACAGCTTGAGGCCATTTCCTCGTGTCCCATCCCTTGTTCCCTGGGAGCAGAGCCTGACCCTCACCTGGCTGCACTTCCTGGCACGGAGTTGGAGAGAATAAGACGGTTCCCCTGAGCCTCCTTTTTTCCAGGCTGAGCCCCTACAGCTCCCTCAGCCTCTCCTCACATAACTGATTCTCCAGCCTCTTCCCCAGCTCTGTTCCCTTCCCTGGACCCTCCAGCACCTCAATGTGTGTCTTGCAGTGAGTCCCCAGAACAGGACACAGCACTCGAGGTCCTCAACAATGCCCAGCACAGGAGAACAGGCACTTGTGCCATTGCTGGTACAAGCCAGGCTCCTCTATAAGAAAATAGGGTTTTGCTGTCTGAAGCATTGTTGTTGCCAGAGTCATCAGAAATTCGATCCTCTCCAATTCCTACATTTCTCTTCTGTTTTCTTTTCTCCTTGCATTTGCTATCCCAGTTATCTCAAGACTTTTGGGGTTTTTAATCTTAGGCAGCCAAGAAATGTTTGAATGTAGTCTCTGTTCTGCAGGGCTGCCTTTTGATCTGCTTTCCATTTAAGCTCTCTAGCTATCTTGGTATGAAATCCTTTCCTCCCTCCGGACTTGGCAAGCACTCTGTCAACTTAAGGAAAAGTATGTTCTCTTTTGAGAAGTCACACAGAATGTAGGGAGCTGCAGTGAAGCTCTGCAGTGTGGAAAAGGCAGTCTGCTGAGAAGGGAGAGTCAGAAATGAAGTCAGTGAGCTTTGTTGCTATCGAGGGCTGAAGCTGAATGTTCCTGAAGGGGCAGAGCTGTGAGCAGTCTGTGGGGAAGAGTCTGTGTGCTGGGGGGTTAGGTAGCTGCTTTTTTGGAGGGTGTCATTGACCCCTACCTGCTGCAAGCTTCAGCACAAATACATCCCAGAGAATCCATCGCCTGTGGCAGTGCCCAGAGGGGTTAGGCAATGCAGTGAGTAAGGTGGTGTTGTATCCTTACTCCACGCATTAATTCCTTTGGCTGTTACTGTCCCTGGGCAACTGCTGGACCAGTGCTTGCCAGTAAAGGTGAAGCTGGTCTGCAAGAACTGGTTTGTGTCTCCTCCCAGTGCAGGAGGCTGGGAACAGCTGGTGGATGTGTTGCTCTCCCTCTCCAGTTGTGTTCTCACTCTCCCCAGAAAACTCTATCCCTTGTTCAGCTTCCAGACTCTCTAGATTCACTTTGGGAGCAGTAGATTTCCTTCTCTTTCCCAGTCCCTCCCTCCCAAGGAAGAGGGAAGGGTTCCTTCCTGACTCAGCATCTCTGATGGATGCAGTTTCTCTCTGTCTGATGTTTCTCTTGTCCCTAATGTGCTTTGCTCTCCCAGACTATGACTTGCCTAGACATTTGAATCTGATCCTGATTTTAACCTTTATTCTCCTGGGTGAAATGTTCTTAGTGGATTCTGTTACTCTGCACAAAGAATAGAAAGAAACCAGTCAGCTCTTTTATCCCCTTGGACTCACGTCAGCCTTAGGAAGAGTAGATTAGGGCACTTAAAACATTTAGCAGAGCTGCCACATGAAGCCAAATTTCCCTTGTGTCCATATGCTGCTTTCTTTCTGCCATTAGGTCCTCTCATTGTTGTCACTGCTCAGTTGGCTTTAAAGGATCTTTGCTGTCTTTAGCAGAGCTGTGTCTGCTGTTCAGTGGTCCCAGTCTGCACAGATGGTGGGTGGCAAGGTAGAAAAATCTTGGGTTAAGTGGCTGTGCTGGAAGTGATTTTCAAACTTGCAGAAGCATTCCCAGCAGAGAGGTCACCTAACTCCTGCCCACTCCTCCAAAACCAGGGAGAGACTTTCCATCTGAGCCTGTGCTGCTCCCATTCAGCTGCTGTTTGGTATCAGCTTTCACCTTGTTGGTTTTTCTTAATGCCTTCCCTGTGTAGATTAAGACCTTCATCCATTCAGGAAGAGATGGCAAACAGCTGGGCTCCACTGGCAGCCTGACGGTGGATGGGAGAGCTCAGTACATCAGGCTGGACCTGGGCTCCTCCTCCTACTTCCTTTTCTATACAGGTACAGTTCTGCTTGTGAATTCAGTCTGAAAGGGTGATTGTAACTGTGAAATCAGGATTGCTAAACATTTTTTTGGCTGAGAGTGTGTTTGCATTCTTAAAAGCTATGTGGTGCTTTCACCTAGCCAAAGAGCTGTTCTGGACTAAAAGGAGGAGGAGCCTCTGCTTAAACTGTGTTTGTTACGTACTGTAGTGATTTTATTTAACAAATGTCAAGCATGTAAGGATTAAGCAGTCATTTATAGCAAATGATTGCTGTGGAACACTTGGATTATGAGCAGATAAGATGTTAAAAGCATTCAATAGCAGGCTTGAGGCTCAAAATACCACTACAACTGTATGATGCAAGCCCTAAAAATATAGTTGATCTGCCAGATCTGGAAAATCATCGAGTTCAGAGCAAGGGCAGGATAACTTATCTCTCTCATTCTTCTTTTTTTTTTTTTTTCACAGAAAACTCTCTCTATGCATATTCCCTGAAAGATCTCTACAGTGCAGCAACTGGGATGGAAGCTAAGCTTCCCAGCCTTGGGCAAGATCCTGAGTGGGAGAAGAGTATTGACCACACCACGCACCACTTATCCCTACCGAGGTGTGAGGTTATGTCTTGGTGGCTGGTATAGTGGAGGATGCTGCTGTTCCTGTCAGGTTGACCTGTTGGGGTTTTGTTCTCTCCTGGCTGTGTGGATTTTGGGTTAGAGCACATCCAGAACTCAGGGAAAGGCTGGTGTTAATGGCCTCATCAGGGGAAGCAGGTTGAGGTTTCCTATTTGCATTTACTGTGCAGGGAAAAGACACAACCTCACAGGAAAGCCATCCATTTTCTAGAAAGCTTAATCATTTTTCTGTCCTTGTTCAGCTTTGGAGACTTTCGCTACCTGGCAAGAATTCCTGGGAAGACACATGAGAACATCTTGGTTGTAAACTCAGAGATGGCTACACTGATCAATGCCCAGAATCTCCAGACTCTGTGGACCCTCAACGTGTCCCGTGCTTTGAGGTAGAGTTCCCAGTCTGGGCTGGATGTGGCATTTCCATGTTCCCAGCAACAGCAGTGTCCTGACAGATGCTACTTTTTTTTTTGCCTGTGGTCCTGTCTGTAATTTTGTTTGTTGTGTTGTGTGCCCTCTGCTAGCAAACATCAAGTGCTGCTTCAGAACAGAGGAAGCCAAAGCTTTGATTGCTCATTCTGTGCCTGCTGTGACGTGGCTGGGCTCAGAGTTGGGGGTGGTAACAGGCTAACCCAATGGTGTAGCAGTCAAGTCTCTTCTCAGGGGCGTTGTGGGAGGATAGAGGCTGCTCAGTGTCCGGGCCATGGGGGGGCTGAGTTATGATCTCTCCCTTCTCTTTCTCTCCCTTAGAGAGTCACTGCTTGGTTACTACAAACCTGATGTTCTTGGTATTGTCCTGGAGAGTGAAATTGGACCCAACAGGAAGAAGGTTTGAAATCTCTTCCTTTTAACTTCTCTTGTCTCTATATGTCACAGCTCAAGCAGGAACTGAGTTGAGGATAGCTGGTGGGATGTGTTCCCTCTGACTCATTTTAGGAAGCTTTAGGCTGGGAAAGGATCTCTTTCAACAGGTTATTGAAGCCAGCTCAGGCACTTTAATTCTCTTCTCAGCAAGAGGCTTCAATGACAGAACTTTGAACCCCTTGAAATAGCTGCAAAACTTGTGACTTTACTCTGATGTGACCCACCCCAGGTCTCACAGCTCTGTGATGCTCCACTTCAAGTATTTCCTCGTCTTCCCATGTGTCAGATACTTGTTCCCCTAGACACTGTGGGGTAGAGACAGCTGACCTGACTTCACTCTCGTGGCTTGTCATATCCCTTTGTTATGAGTGCCTTTTCTTTCTTCCCTGCTAGGTTATGATTGTTGAGAGTGGATCTGGAGTAGTCCAGTGGGACCTGAAGCTGAACTCAGGGGCAGAGAGCCCCAGCCCAGCCACCCTATCTACTGCAGATCACCGTTCCGCCTTCCTCATCTGGGGTGACTACCAGGAACCAGGCAATGAAACAGTGAGTCCTGCTGCTGGGAGCTGCTGCTCTCCACACTTTGGGCCAGAATTGGGTGGACCTACCCCCTTCTCCCTGCACTGGTATTCTCATCTGTCTGTGCCACTGCCTCGGTGCACAGCTCAGCTGTGAGCAGAGCTCTCCAGGGCAGTGGCAGACAGCATGGAGAGTGCTGAAGCACCAGCTGAGCTTCCTCTGCTTTCCTTGCTTGCTCTGCCAGCCCTGAGGCAAAAACCTGTCTCCTGCCTGCAGCAGACAGGCCAGCTATTTGCAGGAAGCTCAGGGTGGGGAGGAGAGCACTGAGTTGTAAGCAAAATCCCAGCACTAGTCCTAGTGACATCAGTCAGGATGAGTTGGGCTGACATGGGCAAATGTCTGGCTGGATGTATCCTGTCCAGTGTGAGTAATAGCTGAGCCAGGTGCTGGTGCTGTCTCTGGGATAACATCTGGGTCTGTGTCCTGTTGGTTGCAGAGATCCAGAGCTCCCTTCCAGAAGCTGTACCTTTTCCATCCTTCCTACACGAACGTCCTGTTGGAGCTCCGCAATACCACGGACCAAATAATTGCATTCAGCGGTAAGTCCTCTCCTTCCCACCCTCCAGCAAGGAGCTCCAGGAGGACAGTGAGGAGCTCCAGGAGGACACTGGTGCCTCTGTGGGTGGGTGGTGTTGGGTCTGGTGGCCAGTCCAAGCCTGGAGCCTTGTCCTGTGCCGTTGCAGCCGCGCTGTTCGAGCGGCCCCGCCACGCCTGCTATGTGCTGCTGAGGGGCCCCCGGGCTGGCACGGAGCCGGGCACGGTGTCGCTGATGAAGAGGAAGCTGAAGGAGGATGTCTCGGAGAGCAAGGTGATCTGGCTGAGCCAGGTGGCCGTGGACAGTGAGCAGTACGTCCGGGATCGCCTCTACAGGATGCGATTCCAGAGCCGAGTGTGAGCTTGCCGGGGGAGGGCAAGAGGCTGCCTGGGCCAGGCATTTCCAAGCTGCCTCTGCTCACAGCTGAGAGCACTCAGCAGTCCCAGGTCACGGATTCTAATGGGAATCTGCCTTTCTCCATCCACAAACCAAAGCGTGGCTGGCAGGGAAGCACCCCCAGTGTCTGGGGACACCCAGGCTGTGGGGGCAGCTGCCAGTGCATCTGTCCTTGGAGCTGATGGGACTTCAGTGCTTGGCCACCACTGAAGTGTCGTCAGCTCGGGGAAGAGGACTTTCCCCTCCATCCCTCTGTGCCCGCAGAACTGTGCTGACTCAGGCTGTGTCTGGAGGAAAACACGTGCTTGCTGGGGATGCCAGAGTTGATGATTTCTGGGGTGTTTGCCTGTGGAGTGGAGTTTGATGTGTGGTGTTAGATTTCCTTTCAGAGTCAGCTTTCCTGGCTGGGGGAGAGGTGCTTGGCTGCAGGTTGATTTGCCATCTCCCTCTCCTGGCTTTGGGCCCTGCTGTGGTAGCTGTGGGGTATGTGTAGTGACAGACCCCAGTGTGGCTGTTGATGTGGTTAGGTGTCACCTGGGTCAGCAGAGCACAGGTTCAAATGTTGTTCTACTTAGAAATGGCCTTTTCTCCTAAGAACAGCCCCACATACCCTACTCTGCAGGCACCAGCCTACCTGTGTCTGTCTCCTCTGCTGCTTCCTTTCCAGCCAGGCTGTGCAGCATTGGTGACACCAAAAGGGAGCTGGTCTCCCACCTGATGGATGTGTCAGAGTCCCTCCCTGCCCTCAGTGTGATTATAGGTGGTGAGAGGTCCACCCTGAGCCCAGGCTGGCTGGTCCCTGGCAGTACCAACACCACCTCTCCTGGTTTAAAGGAGCCAGAGGAACTAGGACATTTTTTTCAGAGTAGGATTGTACTTCAACCTTTCCTGGGAGCTGGGATTGCTGCTCTGGGAAGCCCTGTACCCAAGTGGCAGTGCCAGCTCTCTGCTCATTCAGCCTTGCAGCTGCTGAGGAGCTTTCTCCAAGCACTGTCCCCTCTGCCAGGAGGTGGGCAGAAGCTCCATGCTGCCTCCCTGCCCTTGGAATTGAAGTGTTGCTGGGTGAGGATCCTTGGGTGCTGTTCTATCTATCCAGCCTGATATCCCAAGGAGATGGGATAGGTTGCTGTGTGAGGATGATGTGTTTCTTCTGGACATTTGTGGAGCATCTTGGTGTGTTTTCTCTGCCCTATTCTGGTGGTTGCCAGTGCAGGCTGTAGAAACAAGGTGCAAAGCCTGGAAAAGGGTTTGAACCAGCTGCTCAGTCCTGGAAATAAAAATAACCCTAAAAATAACCTCTCTCAAGCTCTGCAGTGCTGGAGGGGGTTTGGCCAGTGCCTCCCTCCCTTGCTGAGTCTCACAATGGGGGATGTGTAGAAATACTGTAGGATGGGAAACTTAATGCCAGGCTGTGCAGGGTCAGGCAGTGGCTGTTCCCTTCAGGAGCTGCTGAGCTTGAACGTGCCCCAGGGCAGCTGCTGGCTCAGGCAGCTGCTGTCACCTGGGCTCACACCACAGCTTCAGCTCTCCCAGCCTTGCAGCACAACGAGCTGGGCTGCCTGGGTGCTTACCTCCTGCTTCCAGCTGGATTGGTGGCTGCCCAAAGGGGGTGCCCTGGCTCCCTCTGCCCTGTGACCCATATCCCAGGCAGTTGAGGAGCTGTGTAGGATGATTGCTGCTGGCAGAGCCCAGTCCTGGGGCATCTGACTGTGCAGAAAGCCAGGGATACTCCCTGGAGAGCACTCCACAACCTTCAATGCACCATAGGCTCAGAGTGGTAGGATTTTCTTTCCAGGCTGTTTTCTGAGCAACCTGGAGGTGCAGGAAGGCTCCCCTGCTGTGTCCCTCAGCTTGGGTTGCTGCTTTGCTCAGCGCCTGAAGCCTGGCAGCCCCACAGGTCCCTGTGTCAGCATTGCAGCCGTAAGAGGCTCCAAGGGCTGGATTCAGGCTGCCCTTCAGCTGGCTGGGACAGAGCAGCAGTGTGGCTGTGGGCACCAGCCTGGGGACACCCAGGCTTGTGTGCTAGTCCAACCCGAGTGTTGGATGTGGATTATATCCTGCTGAGATTCCTCTGGCAGGGAGCAAGGTGCCTGGGCCATATTCTCACCATACTCTCCCTCCTCCAGTCCCTACCCAGACCTGACTTGTCCCATAGGCACACTGAATGTTCCTTCAGGAGAGCTGGATTTTCAGCTTCTGGGGGGCTTTTCTGGCTTTAAGTTGTCCATTAATGCAGATTTCCCTGTGGCAGCTCAATTAAATGCATCAGTGCCAAAACAGCACCTTCTTAACAAAACCAGTCCCTTCTCCGGCTTATTTTCCTGTGTAATTGTTTTATTTTTGCAGTATTTCATGAATGACTTTGTGCCTTGATTCAACAACCCAGCTGGGTGCCGATGGCGTATATCACTGTGTTCTGTGTTAGTGTGGTTTTTAACTCTGAGACTGTTTGTTTTGGTTCTTTAACTTATTGCGAATTGTGCCGTACAGGACTTGGTCTAAGGGGAATGGTTTCAATAAACCCTCTTTTGCATTGTTTGTAAATGGTGCCCTGCTTTGGTGTTGCAGTGGGATTTTGTGGCAGCCCTTTGGGTGACCTCCTCAAGGCAGAACACCCCCACCCTCCCCTTCTTGGGTGGGATCCAGGAGGTGATGCTTTGATGTCTGAGGTGCTGCCCTGTCCCGCTGTGGGCAGGTGATGGACTGGGAGAAGGGAGAGTGCAGCAGGAGGCTGGAGTTAGATAACCAGGCTGTGCCAGCCCGTCCCTGCCCCCCGCCTGGGGCTCA